ACGCTCACCCGGCCCTGCATCGTATCCGAACGCGGTCCCCTCGGCCCCGTGAAGTGGCTGAAGGGCTGGGGCAGTGGCAACGAGACCGTTTATGAGCAGACGGGCTCCTTCCCCCGCGTGACGAGGGCGGTGGCAGAGTCCAGCACAGACTTCAGCATCCACATCAGGGACGTTCAGCCCGAGGATGCCGGCACCTATTACTGCGTGAAGTTCAGCAAATCGCTGACTGGAGCTGATGAGGTGTTTCGGCGTGGGAAGGGCACGGAGGTGTCCGTACACGGTGAGTGGGGCTCCCAGAGCAGCTCCCGGCAGGACCCAGCCCAGCCGGGTGCAGCCCCCGGCACAGCCCAGTCCATCCCAGTCCATCCCAGCCTGGTGGGCTCCACTCGGGATCGCTGACTGGAGCTGATGAGGTGTTTCGGCGTGGGAAGGGCACGGAGGTGTCCGTACACGGTGAGTGGGGCTCCCAGAGCAGCTCCCGGCAGGACCCAGCCCAGCCGGGTGCAGCCCCCGGCACAGCCCAGTCCATCCCAGTCCATCCCAGCCTGGTGGGCTCCACTCGGGGCAAGCAGGGATGGGGAAGGGGTCGGGTGCTGGCCCTGGGAGAGGGTCCCGTGGGCTGTCCCTGGGCACATCCACGTCCCTGTGGGAGACCCTGGGCCAGGCGGGGGTGGCAGAGCCCGGTCTGACGGCCCCACGCTTCTCCCTGCAGCCAAACCCACCCCGCCGGTCGTGTCCGGGCCCGGCCGCAGAGCGGGGCCGGGGACATCGGTGTCTTTCACCTGCACGGCCGGAGGGTTCTTCCCCAAAGACATCGGCGTGAAATGGTTCAAGGACGAGGCCCTGATCTCGGCTCAGCCGCCCCAGGTCACCCCTGGGCGGACGGAATCCTCCTACGACATGTCCAGCACCGTGACGGTGACGCTGCAGGAGTCCGACGTCCGCTCGCGGCTGGCCTGCGAGGTGCAGCACCCCACGCTGACGGCCCCGCTGAGGGGGGGGTACCAGCTCAGCAAAGCCCTGGGAGGGGAGGGCTGG